GGAAGACAGAACTTGGTTCCAGACACGTTAACTGCGAGAACGCCTGTCACCCTCCAGGTGGAAAAGGGAGTAGGGAGTTATTGGCCGTGAGTCAGGCTTGGGGACTAGGTCCTGGCTGGGACTTGAAAGCTGGGAATCATCAGCACGTGGATAGTATTTAAAGCTGTGAGACCGACTGAATCACTAAGGGAATGATGGAGGGCAGAGAAAAGGTCCTGAGATGGAGCTCTAGGCTCCCCAGTCTTTCAGGTCCGAGGTAAGGAGGAATCAGCAAGGAGACAAGCGAGAGCAGCACAGGGGTGGAAGGACAAGCGGAAGCAGCTGGTCAGTCCAGGGCAGGCCCCGGACGACCCACCCTCCTGCCCCCACCTGTACTGGGCAGCTGCTTCCCGAGTCTGGAAACAGCCCTGAGTTTGCACTGATGATTCCTTATGGCATGACGAGCAGGGGAGCCCTTGGGCTGGAGATGGGGGTGCACAGAGCAGGGGCATCTGGTATGGGCCCTGAGGGCTGAGGGCAGAGTTCTTAACAGTCAGACAAGGTGAGACTTCATGCAGGCAATGGGGTGGAGATCTCAGTGGCTTCGTGGAGAAGAGGCACGGGGGTGGGTTCTGGACCCTGCAGGACAGGGGCATGGGGAGCATGATCCCTAACAGTTTATACAAGAGTCACAGAAGTAAGGGAGGGTGAGGAAGCCCCAGGGATTGGCGAGTGGTCCACTTGGGTTGGAGGCTCTGGACTTTGGAGCTGCTGGAGACAAGGTAGGGAAGGGGTGCACGAGAAGCAATTGGAACCCCTTGAGCTCCAGGAGCTCAGTCTAGTTCGAGAGGGAGACAGAGACCCACAGTGCAGGGTGGGGGTGCCTGAGGACCCACAGAAATGCTGGGGGAGCTGTGGAGGCAGGAGGAGGTTGGTCTGGGCAGTGAAGGCTGCCAGTGGGAGGCAGGCTTTGAACAACGTGCAGGCTTTGATCTGCCCAGACACAAAGCGTTCTTGGCAGTGGAGACCACACGGGCAAAGGTGTGGAGGCAGGAGCCTGTATGCGTGCCCAGGAAGCAGCGCCCGATGGGAGATGAGATTAGCCAGAGCCTTCTGAGTCAGACACAAAAGACTTGCTGCCTGGGTTCCTGAGCCGGGGAGGGACACAGCTGGATCTGGTTTTAGGAAGACCAGTCAGGCAGCGATGTACGGGGTGAACTGGAGGGGAGCACAAGGGGTCCGGAGGTGAGAAGAGGCTTTTGGAGGCGGGTGCGCCCAGGACACGCATGGGACCCGTGGGACCTTTTTTCCTTCAACTTGGGCCAAGGGTTTTTGCAAGGCCTGGTGTTGTAGTCACACTGCCCTGAAGGGCAGGAGAGTGCCGGTCACCCGAGGGCACCATCTGGCCTCAGTGACCCCCCCAAAGGCTATGAAGAGGCTGCCCAGGGACAGTTGGGGCAAGAGGACCACACTTTTGCCTATGGGGGAAGCTCTCCGTACCCAGTGCCCTGCCAGCTCTTCTCCATCCACTGTCCATTTCCCTCCCAGCAGCCTGTGAGCCCGTCCTGCGTCAGCCCGTGAGGCAGGTGAGGACCGTGAGGCCTAGCAAGGTAAAACGATGTGCCCGGCAGCGGGATGTGAACCCGCACCTCCTTGGCCGGGCCGAAGTTTTGGGGGGAGCTAAGGGACCCCAGAAATAAGAACAGTGAGCTTATTTACCAAACACGCACTCTGCCACGGAATGTGCTTATGAGAAGTATTTAGCAGGCGAGTATGTGTGCGTGTATCCGGTTCAGGGTCTGCAGTGGCTGCCCAGGACCCTAGCTCGGTGATCTAACCTCATTTTTTTAAAAAGATTTATTTATTTATGCATGTAAGAACTGGGGTGTAAGCCAGAGGTGCGGGGAGCGGGGTGAGAGGATTCACCAGAAAAGAGTGGGGAGCAGAACAGGCAGACTGACTGAAATGCACTGCTGAGGGGAGCAGCGGGCAAGACAGGAGAGGTCTTCTGCTCCATGTGGGTTGCTCCCTGGCCAGTCAGGGATCAAACTCATGCTACAGAGACTGGTGATAGTTTGATAGCACCGTCTCTAAACCCTGTGCTGCCAGAGAGGCTCCCTAACCTCATTTTAGAGGCGAGAACTTTGACATTTTTTGTTGCCATAAGCTGGGATTTGAACCCAGGGCTGAGTTCTTTTAACCCACCCCACTGCCTCCTGGCCTGGCAGAAAGAGAGGGGGGGGGGTCCTTTGTGAACAACAGGGGTTCAGAGCTGGAGCTGGAGCTGCACCCCCTGTTCCAGGCCCAGTGAAATGTCAGAGCAGGCTGCTGACTTTCTGTGCCAACTGGCTCTTTGCATATAAATCCTGGGCCTGTTCACCAAGGGCTTGTGTCTTTACCCCTCGGGAGCTGCCCGTCCTACTGCAGGTGCAGGTAGGGTTGAACTCGGGATAGGGCCTTCTTTCCTGCCAGTCTGGCTGCCAAGTAACCTCTGGCTTGGAATGAAAGGCTGTCCAATAAGTGCCTTGCTGGCCTGCAGCTCGGCTCTGTGGTAGGTGGAGGCGGAGCTGAGAGATGAACGAGAGAAGGATTCGGGAACCTGAGAGCAGGGGCAGAACCTTGCCAACAATCTCAGCGAGCGGCCTTCTCAGCCAGGAGGCCCTTCTCAGCCCAGCTCAGGAGTGTTTTCGAAGGAGAGCTGGTCACGAGGAGTCCTGGCTGCCCTCCCGGCATGGGGGCCCTGGGGCCTCTGTGCTCAGGCTGAGCCCAGGGGAGGGAAGGCCCATGGGGTGAAAACTCCAGGTACCCCACAGCAGGATTCGAAATCAGATACCCTGGGGCATCTGCCCTCAGCCTTGAACACTGGCTGGGCTTCTCTTCAAGTCTTTCGCATTCCAGAGGCCTCCCCCCCACCCCCCACACCCCCACTCCCCACACCCCCACCCAAGGGCTGGGAGAAGGGTCAGCACACAGCACTCAGTTTCCCCAGGGAATTGAAAGTCCACTCTCTAGTGGGAAAAACCTTATACTCAGTCAAGACTGGAGCTCCACTTCTCCCTTGGTTGACTCTTGGGGGTGTCCCAATCTCTTTCTGGGGTCCTCGCCTATGAAATGAAAGGGTCGGGCAGTGAGAGCTCAAAGATCTCTCCAGGCCTTAAGAATCAGGTTGGAGGCCCTCCGGTGTACAGGAAGGGCCAGGCCAGCATCCTGCGGCCCGGAATGCACATGTGTGGTGCATGGGTGCCCCTCAAGAGGGGAAGGTGGGCCCAGGGGCTCTGCCCAGCCTTTGACAGCCACAGAGGAAGCAGCTGGATTAACCAGGAAAGAATCAACTTAGTTTGGCTCTGAGTATGTTTTCCTACAAATCCTTACTTGTAGGAGGGGTTGACATTCTGGAAATTCACTGCAACCCAAGTACTGAACCCGTCCCAAGACACGTGGCTCTGGATTAGGAAGCCCTGGGTTTCCCCGACCCTTCCCTCCTCCATTCTTCCTTGGAAACTCCTTCTGGAAATGGAGTCTTAAGCCTTCTGCCTCCTCTTCCTCCCAGCTCTGCTCAGGGTCTCCTTCCCCTCCTTTCCAGGCTTTATCTAGCCCAGGCTATGGAGGTGGGTAAGTGTTGCGTTTCAGAAGATTCTGTGCTTGTAAAGTCAACACAAGTGAGCAGCTAAGGAAGCCCTAATTAAGGAGATTAGTGGACGAGGAGCACACGCAAAGCCTGAGCTTCAAGTGGGGCTCCACGCCTGTTAGCGAGCTTGAGAGTTTCCACTGGGGGAAGGCAGAGCCTGCGACTCTCAGTGCTTTGAGCCTCTTCAAGGACATGAAAGAAACAATTACTCCTCTTAAGCTACTGTCTGGTCCCTGAAGAAACTGCCGCTGCCTGTAATGGCTCTAGTTGATGGGAAGCAGCTTCCTCTTCCAGGAAGCCCTCCAGATGGCACCAGACACAGCCCCTTGTCCCTTCCTCCTTCATAGCCTCCCCATTCCAGACTCTGGTTATGCTGTGCGCAGAGGTCTTCCAAATCACACTCCTGGCCAGTTCGTGGTGTGAAAAACTCATTTTGCACAATTTTCTCACCTTAGTCCTAGGGCAACATTTTTAGGCTGAGGGGCAGGGGCCAGGCCTCATTGCTCCAGCTTTGTGTACTCACATCCTAAAGCAACAGTGTCCATAACCTTTTTGATGTGTGCATACGTTTGCTTTCTTTAGCCAAAATTTCTTTCCTTTTCTCTTGTTTAATGGAAATAGATGTCTGGTTGTCAAAATAACCCCTGAGCTGAAGATATCAAAAAGCATCTGTCATGCCCTGCACTGGGAGATAACTGCTGAGTCACGCCCTGTGGGTCAGACCCATTTCACATACAATAAAGAAATTCTACTGTGCTTTTTTTCTTTTTTCTTCTTCTTTTTTTTTTTTTGCAACCTACTTTTTGTAACTTAACAAACCCCAGGGATGTCTCCTGTAAACACCCCTGTGGGTGGCTGCCTGTTGATAGACATCATCTCCTATTTTTAGACTGGGTGTTTCCCCAACTGTCCCCCATTATATAGGATACTTCAATAAGTACCTTCCCAGATGAATATTTATGGATACCTTTTTTTTTAAGCATAAAATAAAGAATTTCATTGAAGAATCAGAGGGCTGACACATTTGTTAGGAGTTTGTTGGCCAAGTGTCAGTTCACCCTCCCCCAACAATACAGAAAACGGGTCGGGGGCACCCAGTGCACTGACGGCTGACTTACTGACCAATATGAGTGAGCCAAGGTCTGGGAAATCGGTCTCCCCACCCACCACTCCTTCTTTGCAGCCCTGAGGAGCCAGCAGCCCATGGGAAGACCCTCTGGGCTCACCTGCTAAGGCGGAGGGCACTGTGGTCTTCCCACATGGCCCTTGGATTGGCCTTGGCCTTGGAGCCTGTCCAGGCATGGGGAGTAGGGGGCGCTGGGAATGGCAGCCTATATGGTTGGGGACCAAAGGCAAGGATGCCTCTGGGTCACACCATCCTCTGTGCCTGCAGGAGGCCTCAGCGGGGCAACCGTCATCGATTCCCTCGACACCCTCTACCTCATGGAGCTGAAAGAGGAGTTCCAGGAGGCCAAGGCCTGGGTTGAGGAGAGCTTCCACCTGAACGTGGTGAGTCAGAGGCCGGCAGGGTATGGGGGCAGACGGGACTGGAGGTCCAGTGGCCAGTTCTGCCCCGTGGTCTCTGGGGCCAAGACGTGGGGGCCGCACAGCAACCTAGCCCAGGAGCCGTGTGCAGAAGACAGGTGCCCATAAGTGCCATCCAGCCTGAGACCAGGCCCGCTTGAGACAGGGAGAGGGGCCCGGTGCTGTCTGGTCAGAGGCCCACGACTCTCCTGGTTTCCAGCCTTGCGGGCATCCTGGTCAGAGACCAAGGCCTCGGGGAGAGGGTGGCCACCTGTCTGGATGGAACAAAACCACTAAGTGTTGGGCCTCACCCCAGCCCCGACTAAAGTAGTAGGTTCCTCCCAGAGGTCTCAGCTCACCTGGGGTGAGGCTACTTAGTGGATTTAGACACAAGAAATGAGACAGGTGGGAGCAGGGAGGGGTAACATCAGAACACTGTCGTTCTGTCTGGGGCTCCCAACGTGGCAGGTGTGGGTGTGCATGGAGATAGCTCCCAAGGCTCATGGCAGGTTGAGGCCTCTGCCTCCAGGAGACACCAGCGCCACATAGCCGGGCAGAGGCCAACGAGGAAAGTTGGGAAAGCACCAATGCAGAAGGGTTCCCTGGCTTGGCAGGCAGTGGGGAAAACTCGTGGACCTCCCTGAGCCTCAGTTTCCCCAGCTGAAAGCTGGGAAGGACACAACAGCAGCAGTGACCGTGCTGTGGTGGAGGTGGACAGCCGTGGGGGCTGCAGCAGGCAAAGCCCAGGACAGATGGCAGGTGGCTCCAGCACCGCCATTGTGAGGCTCATGATGACTTCATGTGAGGCCAGGTTGTTCAGAATCCTCCCATTTCCTTTGTACCCAATGGGAGGAAGACAGAGATGGGGCAAGGAAGGAATGTCTCCGAAGGTCCATCCTGTCCCCCCATGTAGATGATAGAGAATCTGGCAGCCACCCAGGAGCCAGGGAGCCTGGGGACATTTAGGCAGGCTGGGAAGGTGGGAGTGTCCCTGGGAGAAAGCAAGGTGGGGTCTCTCCCCCTCGCTGAGCCTTAATGTTCTCACCTGGAAAATGGGAGTGATGCCCTCACCCAACACTGAAGGGCTTACCGAGAGTGCTTTGCAAGGCTTTGATGGTGAAAAGCTCCCCAGATAAAGGAATTGGGGTGGTTGTTGTCAGTAGTGAGAGACTGTAATGTGGGGAGTGTATGCAAGGACCCTGGGGCAGGGAGGCAAGAACAGGCCCCTTTATGAGCACCACACCTGGCACAGGGCAGTGTCTCACCTGCATGGCTCTCCTCTCCCATCCGCCCTGCATGGGACTGAGGCTCAGGCAGGGAAAGGCTAACCTCTTGCCCGGAGTCGCAAAGCCCAATCCGTGGCTCAGATGGGATTTTAAGCAGATCTGGTGCTTGGCGTCTTGCCCCAACACCCCTAATTTGCAGTCCAACTTAAAAAAGAAAATAGCGATGATTAAAGCAAGTGTAGGCGTGCCCTGAGGGCTGCAGAGCCCAGGCTGAGAAGCTGCTGGTTACCCACAACCTCTCAGCGCCCCCTCCCTTAGCAGTGGCCTTGCTTTGTCTGCCCAGAACCTCCTGGGAGAGCTTGCCTCTTGCCCTGTCACCCCAGGGAAGGCCACACCATCTTGCAGCCGGGCCAGGGGGCTCCTTCTGAAAGGTGAGGGGGCCGGGCTAGGGGAGGGGTTTGCCTCTGCTCAGGCTAAGCTCCAGCCAGCAGCTCCCCACGCAGATTCTCTAGCCCTTGGAGAGCAGCCAGGCAGAACTTTGCTCCGGTGGCCTCAGGCAAGGGCCCTGGAAGGCAGCCAGACCTAGTGTTTATTTGGAAGGCTGTGAATGTGCACAGGCAGCCGCCAGGCGGGTGCTCATCCCTCTCGCCTTGTGCTCTGGAAACCACCACGTGTGCAACCTGGGCCACTGGTGCCCAGCACAGGTGTGAGCTGTTTGCGGGGCCCGGTGCCCCTGGGGCTGTCTCACGAGAGTCCGTCTGCCCCCCCCTCCTCCTTTCTGCCCTGCAGAGTGGAGAAGCCTCCCTGTTTGAGGTGAACATCCGGTACATCGGAGGACTCCTCTCAGCCTACTACCTGACAGGAGAAGAGGTGAGTTTGCATCCCCTGGACCATCCAGGCTGGAAAGAGCTTTGGAAAACACCCGTTCCCACTCCCCCAATTCCCCAGCAAGGGATCAGGGGTTCCGGGACCTGGCCAACAGTGCCATGTCCCCCACTGCCACGGTGCCCCCACAGGCCCTTCTTCCTCTTCGGTCTGACACTTTGGCTTCTCTGCCCAGATGGCCCAGATGGCCCAGCTGGCTCCCTCCACTGACACTGGCGGCCGTGGCTCAGCCCCCGGCCAGGGGGACACCAGTTTATCTCTGGGTGGACTGGGTGGTTATCTCTGGTCCCTCCTGAGAGTGACAGTGGGGTCCACTCACTGTCCACGGGCTCCTTGCATGGCACCCACAATATCTGGGCTCTGTGTGGCCTTACAGAGCCGCTGGTTCTCGAGAGTGATAGAGCCAAGACGATGGTTCCTCCATTCGCACCCACGGGCCTCGTGGCCTTGGCTCATCCACCCTCTTGCCCTCCCCCGGGGTGACAGGCTGTGGGTTGAGGCCTTGGCCCCAGGTGAGCTGCACTGGCTTCCAGAGGCCGTCAGAGAAGCGAGTTCTGAGCCTCCTTTCCTCTCCACCGTGGGGATGGTCCTGACACCCGCTGGGGCCCAGAGCTCTGGTGGAATGGGGCAGGAGGGTAAGGGCTGGCTCCAGGCTGGCATGCTCCAAAGCCCATAATTCTCTGTGCTGCAAGAGAACCTTGAGAATGGCAGAGCTCTGTAGAAAAGAGAGGCTTCTTCATTCCCCAAAAGCTCCCCTAAAGACATAGCCCCGGGGTCTGTGTCGAGGCTGACCAAGTGCCCAGGTCATCGCTCAATCATGTTACCCAGAGGGCCGAGAAGCTCAACACAACCACCCAGTCCACCCAGAGATAAACTGGTGTCCCCCCTGGCCAGGGGCGGAGCCGCAGGGGCGAGGCAGCCGGCTGAAGAAAAGCCCTCCTCACCTGCGCTGCTTTTGTCTGAGTCGTTTCCAGTCCCGCCGGTGCAGGCAGAAGGGCTGAGCTGAGGTTTGCAGGTGGAGGCCCATGCTTTATCTCTCTACCAAGCATGATCTCCTCCTCAGAGATTCTTCCTCGTATCAATTTGCCCCCAAAAATTGTAGATGTGAGCCCTAGGCTTTGAACACCTGACCCGAATTTCATTTGAAAAGTGGGGAAATGACGTAGGCATACTCGTAAGGGGCACTGCCCAGCCTGCCCTCCAGGTGTGGGGGGTGGGCGTGGGTGCTGGGGTGGAGGATGGAGGGGTCCCATCGGCACCCACAGGGGTCAGCTTGGGGGCCAGTGATCCCGGGAAAAGCTAGTGACTCCTTGGGCCTGATGTTGGTCCCTGTCACCTTGAAGGGTGTCATTGAGTCCAGAACACAGGCCAGACAGTGGGACAGGGCTAGGAGCACCTGTGACTTTGCAATCTTCTAAAGGGCTCGAGGAGAGGCCAAGGGGCTCAGACCCCAAGATCCCAGGCAGGCCTTCCTGACCTGTCTCTGCCCCGCACCACCGCATGCTGCGTGCAGTCTTGTGAGACACTCCCGCGGCACCCATCTCCACCAACCTGCACCCAAGGGAGCCAAGAATTAGAAGTGACTTGCAGGGGTGGGGAGTCACCTGACCTACGGCTGGGGTTGCCCCAGGGCTCAGCCACCCTGGACGGAGGCCTCCATCTCACACAGCGGGAGCCTGCTGAGTGGGTCTGTCCAGCGGGTATCTGGAATGAGTGTTAGAGGGGACCCCACTTCCTGGGCTGCGCCTCTCTTTGCCTCAGAGGGAACTTACAGGAGGGTAATTTTCTGCCGGTAGATCAACCGGGCTGAGACCCCACTTCCATGAGAAAACAGGCATAATCCCAGCTGTGCCGGGGACGTTTGTCCAGCACTTCACTGTTTAGAGAGGACATTCACTTATTTGCATCCTCTTGCTTGACTTCTAGAACCCTGTGAGCAGACAGGAAGGCTCACACAGCCTAAGGGGACAGATCTGAACCTGGGCTCCTGCCCCTAGCCCTTTCCCCTCTACAGAATGTAGTTCTTGCTGGTTTCTCTCACTGCTGTTCTGGAACCACTGGGTCATCACCCTCCGCTCACCATGGCTCTCTGAGGCCGTGTCTTTCTGTGTTGGAAAGCGCCACGACCTTGGTAAAATGCTTCTGGGAGACACGCCATACTGTCCCCACAGGCTGTTGCACAGACACTGGCGCACCCACTCACTTCAAGACGATAAGGAAGACTCGTGTGCTGTCCACACTCATGTCCCCGCATAGAGAGACTCTGCAGTTCAGGCAGTGGCCTTCCAAAGGAGAAGACATGCTTGCTGCAGAGAGAGCCCGGAGTCCTCAGGGCAGCCAGACAGGTGCCTGGAGCTGCAGCAGTGGTTCAGGTTCCCGTAGGTGCACTTGAGCCTGTGTGCTCGGCCTCCCCAGGGGTCAGGGACACTCTCTTTGTCAAATGAGAGCTCTTTGTTGTCACTAAACCTGGCTTCTGGGTTCATTTGAGGTTCTGGATCTGGAATCCAGACAGGACCCCCAGAGATTCTGATATGGTTGACCCTGTGCCCATTTCTGAGACCCACCGTCTGGCCCCAGAGAGCAGCATCTCCTGTCCCCCATCACTGCCAGGGCCCTGTCTGGTTAGCCGCCTCCCTCCAGCCCCTCCTCGGCCTTAAATCCACACGCCAACGTTGTTAGTATCGGAAAACGCCTCCCCCACGGGGCTGGGGTGGGAGCCGCCTTGGGGAGAGGAGAGACCACAAGAAGACTGTTTTGCAAAGAAACACAGGAGGTCAGCAAACTGGGTCACCTTTGAGCTCCTGAAGTGAGAGGGACGGAGTTTTGTCTCACCAGGAGCCCCTGCTTAGGGCCTTTCCTCTCATCTCGTAAAACATAAATGATGTTTGTTGTGGTTTTGCTCTTATTATAAAAAGAGCACCGAAAATAGAAATGAGCTGAAAGAAAGTAAAAGTCCTACACGAGCCTGCCCCTCCCAGGAGCCTCTCAAAGGCATTTCCCCCCCACCCTTCCCTCCGGTACCCTGCACCTGTGATCCCTACAATGCTGAAGTGCACTGTTGGGAAACATCTTTCTCCTGGTGGACTATAAGCCCCTTCTTTACTATTCAGCATTCGCTGACAGCATCACCTCCGTGGCTGCACGGTTTCTGCTGCGTGGATCAGCCGTCCCTTCCTTAACCACCTCCCTATTGTCTGAGATTTAGAGGACTTCCATTTTCCCACTGTTCAAATCAATGCTGAAATAAATAGCCATAGCGCTAAATCTTTACAACATCCTTGATTATTTATTTCCTTAGAATAAATTCCTGGGAGGGAAACTGCTGAGTCAGAAGGTCACGAGTCCTTTTGAATTAATCAGAACAGCTGCGGGTTTCAGAGCCGGCCAGGGGTCCCGCGGCTGGGGGGTCCTCAGGGCTCCCTTGCTGTCTGTGGTGGTTTTGGATAAGCCATGCACCTTCTCCATTCATCTTGTCTGTAAAACTGGAACAGTGGGCAGAATCAGAATGTCACAGAGGGAGAGGCTTACACATGGTGGACTCCCCCAGAGGGAGTAGCGGCCACTGCAGAGGAGCCAAGTTGTGGGGGCAGGATTGGTTCTGGCCTCCCGGGCCGGTACGCTTTACCCCAGGTCCAGACGTGTGTCCTGTACACCCCACTGTGACGTCCTGGTCGTGGGGGCAGGATTGTTTCTGGCCTCCCGGGCCGGTACGCTTTACCCCAGGTCCAGACGTGTGTCCTGTACACCCCACTGTGACGTCCTGGTCGTGTGGGCAGTCTCTGACCAATGGTGACCCGTGGCTCAAACGTCTCTTCCAAGCGGTCACCCTAATGGTGATTACAGCCGTTGAGCCTGCATCACAGCCTGATCTGTTGTAACTGCTACCGCTTTAGATGTTCGTTCCTCTCAGCATCCTGCTGAGGAAGGCAAACAAGGAAACTGGGGCACAGAGGGAGGTGCCTCACCTAAGGCCACAGGGCCTTGGAGGAAGCTGTCCACACCCAGGCCTGTCTGACCTCAGAGCCTAAGTAGTGTAGTGTCCCCCCGACCCCCTCGCACCGGGCTGTGCTGGGTTAGTAGGTTCATCCCGCAGCGGCCTCCTGCAGCGGCCTCATCCCCCAGACTCACGTGCCCGTGACTCTTTCTTCACAGGTGTTCCGTGTGAAGGCCATCAAGCTGGGAGAGAAACTCCTGCCGGCCTTCAACACCCCCACAGGGATCCCAAAAGGCGTTGTGAACTTCAAAAGGTAGGACGCTTCTGGCTTCCCATATTTGGTTTCCCTGCGTCTACGTGGAAACTGAGGCCCAGGGAGAGCACAGTTTCCACCTTGGGAGTCACAGCCAGTCAGTGGCACAGAATAAACAATAAATAAAGTTCTTGGCCTTTGACAAGGACTGTCCTGAGCTGGTGTTTGTTGTCAGACCTGGACCTCAGACCTGGACCTCAGGGCTTAGGACAAGCAGCTCTTCCTCCGTGATGGCCCCATGACACAGATGGGCTCACAGGCGCCCCAACTTCCTGCCCCACAGCCAGAAGCCCGTAGGCATAGCGCACCCTCTTCTCATGAGCAGCCACCCAGAGCAGCCAGGGAGTCCCAGTACCCTAGTCTGCCGACCACCACTCTCATTCCCCCCGGACGTGAGGTCTCAGGAACCCAGTGTCAGAATACAGAGGGGCTTTGGGGGGCATCGAGCCACAGAGATTCTGACTGGAGTCAAGGCTGTGCCCGTTCACGTAACCAGCCACAGTTACAAGTGGCTTCCAACGCCATCTGTGATAACATTTACTCAATTTCCCCCTTGATAAAAGTTATTTTTATTGCAGAAAAAAGGTGAAGTATATTAAAAATGTTGGATAAGACTGAAAATATCATGTGGTTCCAATAGAAAAGAAACTGCTGGTAATATTTGTTAGGCTTTGTTGTTGTTTATAAATGTGTGTGTGTGTGTGTGAGATTGAGGTAGTATTTCTGCTTGCAACACTGTATGTGATTGCAAGGTAGAGGATCACACCCTTCAGATGAATGTCACCACCACCCCACCACCAGGGCACCCACAGTCCTTCACCATAGTCCATTGGGCCCCCCCAACTCTGTGCTCCCCCACTTCCCCCCTCCCTCCAATATTCTCAATTTTAGAGTCAGATTTCTAGGGTTTATTTTCGGTTTGTTTTTGTCTGACCTTTGTTTTGTTTCTCTATATTCCACATATGAGTGAAACCATCTGGTATTTGTCCTTCTCCCCCTGACTTCTCTGGCTTAGCTTAATCCCCTCCGGTTCCATCCATGTTGTCACCAATGACAAGGGTTCGTCGTTTTTCATTCATAACTGCGTAGTATTCCATTGTGTGTGGGGGCCACATCTTCCCAATCCTCTCATCTGGCCTTGGGCACATGGGTTGTTTCCATACCGTGGTCCATACCGTGGCTGCAGTGCACATAGTGCAGTTACCCCTCCAGAGGAGTGTTTTTGTCTTCTCCAGGTAGAAACCTAGGGTTGGAATTGCTGGATGATATTGTAGATCCGTTTTTAATATTTTGAGAACCCTCCAAACTGATTTCCAAAGGGGCTGGGCCCGTCTCCATCCCTGCCAGTGCTGTGCCTTTCTCCACATTTGGCCGGCACGTGTTGTTCATGGTCTTGGAGACGGGCCATGCTCATGGGTGTGCGGGGGTATCGCTTTGCGGTTTTGATTTGCATTGCCCTGATGACAGTGATGATGAGCACTTGTCCGTGTGCCTGTTGGCGTCTGTACAGCTTCTTTGGAGAAGTGTTAAGACCCGGGTTTGCACTGGTGGTTTCCATCCTTTCTCCTCTCCTCCTCTGCTGCTCATTTCAGCCCGTGAACCAGTCTGGAGCAGTCACTCAGTCCCAGAATGCCAGCGTGGAAGGGACTTTGGGTGACATGCCAGGGAAGGGGACAGTTTAATCCAGCTCCAAAGTCCTTGGGGTGCTTACCTGCACCCACACACGTGCCTGACTGCCTCTCTCTCCTGGGGGTGGGAATGTCTTCATATCCACTCATTTTCCAGAGATGGCAACTGAGACCCATGGGAGCTGGGGGGCAGAAAAGGGGTAAGTCAAAGCCAAGAGAACTGACCCAGCTAGCTTTAGCTCCCCAAGGAGCATGAATCTTGCTCCTGCACACCCCATATGGGCCCCACTGTCTTGTCCCCTCTTGCCCTGGTTGCTGTGTCCCCCAGCTTCCCGGGCCATCAAAGTCCAGCTCAAATGCCACCTTTCCCATCCAGGTGGAAGAGTCTTCGGCTTTCTGGCCTCCAGACACTCTGTCTGCTTCCCTCTGGTGCCCCACCCGCCGGGGGCTCCTTGAGGGCAGATCACAGCCAGGTCTCTGCTCCTTTGACAAATGAGCGTGCTGAGCCCTGAGTGCGGGAGGAAAGATGAGTAATAATGATGGCTCTGCCTACCAGGGAGCGGGCTTCACACTGGCCTGGCCTGTGCTGTTCCTGGACATTACCTCACCAGATACCCTCCTCACAGCCATCCTAGGTCCACAGACGCTTATATGATCCCCTGTGTTCTCAAAAAGACCGAGAGATGAAGTGACTTGCCCAAGGTTTTGGGCTGAGGCTTAAACCTGTTTGTTACTGACGGAGGCTTAACCACCCCTTCAGCCGGCATCCCTGCTGCCCGAACATGACCCCTGGGGATGTGGCCCTGTCCTCAGGCACCCAGCGCTCCCTCGGGCCCTCCTGCAACCCCTAGCTGTCTCCTAAAGTGGTGACTTTTTTCGGGGCTCTCAATCTACAGTAGCCTCAGTCACTGCCTGGGAGGGAAGGAAGATGCTGGAGATGGGGAGGCAGGGCCCACAGCTCTCCCGCTGTCCTTATGTCAGCCTCTCTTGCTTCTCCACCCCTTTTTGGGCCTGGCAAGGAAGAAAAGATGGCCAGACGGTCCTCCCTGACATCTCGACAGTGTCGTCTGTGCTCACAAAGCATGCCTGGGGTGTGAGCGCACTGAAATCTCAGGCCGCTGGAACGCTGTGCTCAGTGCTGGAGCTGCTCCTAAGAGCTGGGCCCTCCGCTTTCTGCTCAGATTCCTTCTAAATGCTGGTCCTAGAGACGCACGCCCAGCTTCCACAGAGCAGACACGAACACGCTGTCTTTCTGGCTCCCTCTCCCAGGTCCAGCTTCCCAGACCGCACCATCCAGGGCCTGAGACCAGACCTTAGCCAGGTGTCCCTGCTCCTCTCTGCCTGGCACTGGCTGCCCAATCCCCGCAAGCCACGAGCTGATCACCTGGCTTACCTGTGTCCCTCAGAGCCCAGACTCGATCCCACATAGACTGGCATTTCTGGTTAAGAAAGCACGTTTATTTTTAGGCTGGTGCATGCTGCCAGAGCTGTATACATATGTATGCATATGCATATTTCCTTTCATTTTCTGGGTAAGAGAATCTATTGCTAAAAATGCCTCCCTGTTCCACCAGGGGAGAATGTCAGGGATGCATGGGCCCGGGGAGTACTGAATTCACTGTTTGGAGAGCACCTCCTGGTGGGAGGAGTCAGGCCGCTCTGCCCCGCTGCTCCAGGCAGAGCTCACTGTAGGCAGTTGTGAGGGGAAGGGCGACCATGAGCCCAGCAGGGAGAGCAGAGAGCCAGGCTGTGCCCCAGGACCTTCAAGGGAGTGAAGGCTGCTCCCTCTCCCTGACGGGAGATGTGTCTGTGCAGGCAGAGACTGTGAGGGGAGGCAGAGGCAGGAGGAGCAGTGACCTGTGACCCGCAGGGACCCTGGGACAGTGGCAATGGCCAGCGACCTCAGCCCTTGAATCCATCACATGCACCCTGATGCTGCCATTCAAGCACAAAGGCTCAGCCCCACAGACCAGCCTCGTCACAGCTCTGCTCCAGTACACAGGTGTGGGATTATAGACCACATCCCTGCCACACACCCATACACATGTCTTAATCACTGCTAACGCTTACTGACCCTTTGCTGTGTGCCTGGCACAATGTGAGCATGACACTGTTCTCTCTTTTCAACCTCATGAACCGCATTCTACCAGTGAGGCTCAGAGAGGTGAAGTAAGTTACCCAAGGTCACACAGCAGCAAAGTAAAGTAAGAATTAGAATCCAGGTTTGTCTGACTCTACAGCTAATGATTACTGCATACACAGGAGTATACGTTTAGGTACACACGCACACAGAAGCTCCAGCCTCACCAGGGAGGGACACTGTGGAGCAGCCCCTCAAGCCCAGAGAAAAGCACAAAGCTGCTGGGCCATTGCAGCCTTAAAAGGCTGGAAGGGAGTGGAAGGCAGTTTCCATTAGCCTGTTCATTGCGGGTCTGTGGTCTCTGGATGCTACCAGAGCAGATGTATTTGGGGCCCAAGGGACCCGGGATCTGGATTCAGGTCTACAACTCTTATCACTTTCTGTGTGACCTTGGAAAAGTGTCTCCTCCTTTCTGAACTTGTGTATTCTGAGCTGTGAAATAAGGGTCATAGTATCTACCTGACATTGTTTGTGACAGTAAAATAAGATATCACAGCTGCCTGGCACATAGGAGGAACTTAATAACTCTAACAAAGATATATAATTTACATGTGCATAATTACACAGTGATAAAAATGATAGTAATTGCATGTATAATTTATACCTCACAGTAATTTCAACATCTGTGGGTAATATCATTTAACAGATGAGGAAACTGAGTTCTAGAAAAATTAACCAACCTGGGCCTCCCTGGTGCTGCAGGGGTTAAAGTCTCAGCGCTCTCAAGCTATTGCCAGCCACTGCAGCCTGAGTTTGATCCCAGCCAGGGAGATACCCACATGGTGCAGCAGACCTCTCCTGTCTCACCCGCTCCCACCCTCAGCAGTGTATTTCAGTAGATCTGCCTGTTCTACTCCCCACTCTGTCTCTAGTGAATCCTCTCACCGCCCCCCGCCCGCACCTCTGGCCTGTACCCCAGTTCTTGTATGCATAAATAAATAAATCTTTTTTAAAAAATTAACCAACCTGCCAGGGGTCCCCCAGCCAGGGAAGCCAGCACTGGAGCCAGGAGGAGGGCGGGAAGGCGCCTAGCCAGCCACCCACCTCTGTCCAGGACTGGCTCCCCGGCTGCCAGGGCAGCTCCCCCGTGGGATACCCACCTGGGAGGGTGAGCATTAGAGGAGTGACAGGAGCGGTTCATGTAGAGAGAACAAGAACAAAAGACAGTGGGGTGACTGGTGGCTTTTTCCCTTTGAATTTCCCTGTGAGGGCAGAAAGCATCAATTATTCAGGAAACCCTTGGTGGGTACTGTTGGCTCCCACTGGGATCACAAGCTGGAGAGAAGTCTCTCCTGGCCTAGGGGGAGAAGGAGACAGAGAGGGGCAGCTCCCCTCCCCTCTGGATGCAGGAGGGGCGGCTGGGGCTGGTGGGACACCCCTTAGGGAAGTGCCCTCTGAGCATGCAGCTCTCACCCCTTCCAGGCTGGGTGAAGCAACAACTCGCTTCACTCTCTGATCCTCACTTTCCTCCTTTGCATATTGGGATTAATGATCCTTTAAATAAAATAATGATTCAAACAGTTTGCCCCAGTGCCCGGTGTACTGGAGCAGCTCAGCAAACAGAGCTGTTTTATTTCTCATCCAGGAGCTAAGTTTCCCCTCTGGCCACCCCTCTCCCCAGCCCCCTGCCCCAACGTAGGTGATTCCCAAGGAAGTGGAGACAGGAAGAAACGGCCAGTGCTCATCTCTCTGTTTATTGATGCGCTCTGCCCTCAAAGACCCCAGAACTCGGGTCCTCCAGCTGCTTCTGGAAACTAGGAGAGTGATGAGTCTTTCCCAGAAACCACAGTCAGGCCCAAGAATGGAGTTTGAGAGGAGAAGGGCAGCTTTGGGGAAGACCAAGCCCGACCCCGGAAAAAGCTATGGCCCGCAGGTGGCCAACTGTGGCCTCTCCCCCGTGCCTGCCATCCTAGGTCTTGTCCCTGGGAGACAGTAGGACAAAGACTGGTTCCCTGAGAACCAGCATTATCTGAGCAAGGAAGCAGAGAGGGCGCCCCAGACACCCCGCAGGGCCAGTGCCCACAGCTTGCCCCCTGCTAACTACACCATAGAGCCCCTTTGGTTGGGGGTGGGGGGACATTCACTCCTCCTTACTCTGGCCCCACCCCAGCCCCTGTAACCTCCCTGCAGGGGGAGGTTGACCCCTGTCCCCCTGGTTATCCTAAAAGCCATCTTGCTACATACAAGGTGACTGAGGCACAGGGAGAGGAAGCAGCTTGCCCAAGGGACCCCCCATTCTGGAGGCTGAGACATTACATCCTTACCCCGTTTGATGGATACAGGAACTAAGGTGCACAAAAAGGACGTGGTTTGCCCACAGCCTCTCAGCTGACAAGCTTGAACCCGTGCCTCCCGGCTACACACCCCAGGGAGATTTCAAGGGAAGCACTAGAAAGGCCGTGTCCTTGCTATTATTGTGTAATGCAAAGAGGCAGGCTGCACGTGGCTAGGACAAGCCCTGGCAGCAGACCAGCTTGGAATCCCAGCAGGTCCTCTCCCTGTGTGATCTTGGGGGGGTGATGGGGTGTTGTCACTGCCCTGGGCCTTGTTTCCTGCCTTGTAAAATGGGCGCATGGCAGGATTAACCTGCTTCTGCACATAGTAAGGAACACCCAGTACATGGAAGTGGTTGCTGGCAGACCTGCTGGTGTCCCGAACTTGACGTCCTCTATTGTGTTCATGAGTTAGCAGGTGAGGAGACCTTGGCTGCTCTTATTCCTAACCTCAGGCTACCCAGGGTCCCGCAGCTCCGGGGTGTGGTCAGACCAGGGCTGCCTGCCCATCAGCGGTGGGTCCATGAAATTCCAGGTGGGGGGTCATTGTGTGTCCTTGGGCATCACTGGTGGTGTGGGGCAAGGGGAAGGGTGTGGGGCAAGGGGAAGGGCCAAGTGGGGTACCTGCTTTCCACCTGTCCTAGTGGAGACCCCCCACAGCTCGGGTTCACCTCCACATGCAGGACCATCGATTGTGAGCGCCTGGGTGATCCTCAGCCAGAGGGAGGAAATAGATTCTGTGGGGGCCTTTGTGGGCCTGACAGCATGATCAATCCCACCCTTAAATTCAGCACAGCACACGGGCCAGCTCGGGGCTCGCAGCTGTACAGGAGGTGCTTGGTGATCGAAACAAAGAATGCTGCAAGTCAGACAGGGGCCAGTGACCTGCAGCCAGTCGCCGCCTCTCACTGACCTCTGATCCCATCAGCAGAAGGGGGCTCTGATCATACTGACCCCCAGAGGGGTGAGCAAAAGTTCTAGGGTGAGCCCTCGTACACGCCTGGAACGTAGTAGCAGCTCCCACACGCACAACATGGTGGCTGTTACTCCTGGCAGGGGAGCGGCCCTGCAGCAGGAGTAAGGAGGCTGCTTCTGTCTTTTCAGCGGCTCCAACAGGAGCTGGGGCTGGGCCATGGCAGGGAGCAGCAGCATCCTGGCGGAGTTTGGGTCCCTGCACTTGGAGTTCTTACACCTCACTGAACTCTCTGGCAACCAGATCTTCGCTGAAAAGGCAAGTCTCACCTGCTCCCTCTTCTCCCCACAGGAGGGTTTGCACACAGCGAGACCAGCAGGAGGGTGGGTGGCGACCCAGGAGGCTTGGAACCCCGGCTGGTAGAGCAAATAGTCACTTGTGGGTGCAACTTGTACCCTTTGCCAGCTGGCAGGGAAGGTGCATGCCAGGGGTAATTGAGAGTCAACAGAGGCAGGCAAGGAGGCAGGGCTGCCGCAGGGATGACCCCGCCAGGTCACGTCAGCTCGTGGCACAACACGTGTGAGGTCTTGAGAAAGGGCAGCTGAGATCTGGGGCCCAGCTCGAGAGGCAGGAATTGGCTACTCGGTGCCCAAGTCCCCTTTCCGGAGGCATTTCACTTATCTGTGGGAGATCTGCCTGCCTTTCCTTTCCAGATGTCCCTTAGCTCTTGCTGTCAGTGCTGGCAGAGCTAGTTCACTCACCGGCAGAGGCTCGCGTCTGTTCCCCTGGCTGTTACTGGGCTGGCTAAGGCCACAGGGTAGGAGTGATGGCATCAAGGCCACCATCCATCCCGACAGCTGTCCGTAGAGACTCTCAGCAGGAGTGGCTCCTCCATGATACAGGCCCAGGAGCCCCGTGTCCAGAAGTGTCTCCACAGGTCGAAGCCTGAGACACTCAGGCCCCACCAGCCATCACCCCTTCCCCAGCCAGCCTCAGGAGATGCAGGCCTGCCCTCCAAGACCTCTGGAAGGACCCTTTGAGGTCCCCACTCCTGAAGCCTTCCCTCCCCCCTCCCCAAACTCTCCCCAAGAATGTTGGCTGTTAGAGTGGAGATCATGGATTCCCAGTGGCTCCCCGTCTCAGGTCAGTCCGCGGCCTCGAAGCATCACCTGGCACAGATTTCTGCATATCACCCCGAGCCCAGGAACCTACATTTTTAATAAGCATGTGCTTTTTTGCTGCCCAGCTGAGGACCACTGCCTCCTCAGTGTGGGGATCCACCCCATGTTCTAAAGAAGCTCAGGAAGAGCTTGCACTCCCTGATCACTCTAGTGGCCCGAGGCTCGCTGCCGCCCTTAGCAGCCTGCCCAGCAGGCCTTCCAAAGCTGCTGCCTTATACTGAGGGGGCTCTGCCTGCCTCTCCAACCTTGGAAGCTCTCCCCCACCCCCACCCCAGCCTCCCGACTCCATTGCTCTTGAGACAAACTTCTCTAGAAGACTGGCTGGCTCAGGATGGCCAGGTAAAACTGCCTTTGTCTCACTGGACAGAGTTCACTTTAGGCTCCTGGGTAGTCTGGAGATGCTGACTCCTAACGCCTGAGCAACTACTAAGTGCTGGATGCACTCTCAACAAACCTCAGAGGTCGGTCTTTCTGTTACTCCCATTTTACAGGCAGAAACTAAGATCTAGAGAGGCAAGCACTGGTCCTGGTCCTGGGCCATTCGGCAGGTCAGTGACACATGACTTCTGGTCTGAAACCCAGGACTCCTGCAAGGCCAGAGTGAGCAGCAGGCTTCAGACGTTTCTCTGGAGTCCATCCGTCTCTCTGTCTCTCTCTACATTTACATTCTCCAGCTATTTTCATGCCCCAATCATGCCTCCCGCAGAGGCGATTATTGGCAGTCAACAAATTGGCCCAAATTCCAGAAGCGCCCGCACCCTGCAGGGGAGCTAATTTAGCCTGCTTCACTGCTCACCACCAGGACAGCAGAGAATAACTCAGGTACAAGCACATTCCTGTCCCCCATAATGGACTCCGTTAACATAAATGGATATGAAATCTGATGTGGCAAAGCGAAGTGCTGTCCCTGAAAGAAGGTCTGCAGCTAAAAGGCGCTCTCCGCTCCTCCCAGCGCAGATAAATCTCTGAGCTTGATACAGCACCGTCCCTGAGGGCCTTTCTTGCCCCGGGATTCAGTCGTGGGAGGATTTTGTGTACTGACAGAGAACAGACCCTGATGGGTAAACACTTCCTAAATCCGCTTCTCACCCCCTGAAGCCCCAAGGATTGCAAATCCAGCTGCTTCTGGCTGCAGCCTGGGGTGGCCTCTGCTATTCGCAGCTCCCGGTCCCCACTGATGTGATCCGTGTTGGCCTTCGGGGCTGCAGCATGAAGTCGCACAGTCCTGACTCCAGTCCTGGCCCTGCTGCTTACCCACTGGATGACCACGGGCAGGTCACCAAACCTCTCTGAGATGTAGGCTTCTCTTCTGTCGATCTGAAATAATCCCTGTAAAATGTTAGGAGAATTAGAGATACCGTACGTCACTGGTTTGGCTTGGAGGAACTGAGAGATGTCAATAGCTATGCAGCAATAGTAGTTGTTGTTACTAGTCTCTTGAGATGCCTATTAGGGCGGGAGTCTGCGGAGCCCAGGCCTCGCCTCTGGAATGTTCCTATAGGATCCGATAAAACACGCTAGGTTGAACCATATGAAATTGCCAGTATTCCATTTCTCGTCTATTAAAAGGGCAGTTTTACCTGACACCTGGTGATATATGTATGAACCCCCCTCCTAAAAAGACCCACCCTCAAAATGACATGCAGCAAGGAAGGGGTGAGGTGAGGGTGGGCGGGGCAGAGGTGGTGAGATGCCAGACCTGCGGTGTGCACAGGGGCACAGCCACCTCCCGCCTCCGGCTGGAACCTGCTGGTGGCAATGCCATCGCCCTTCCCTCCGCTCTGGAATGTTCTCCCCCATCCTCCGTGGGCGGGGAGCAGGCTTCTTCAGGAAACTAAAGTGCCCCTGGTGTCCATCTCTTGTCAGGTCAGGAACATCCGAAAGGTCCTCAGGAAGATCGACAAGCCATTCGGCCTCTACCCCAACTTCCTCAGCCCTGTGAGCGGGAACTGGATGCAGCGTGAGTACAGAGGCGCCCTGCCAGCCTCCCAGCCCTCCCTGCACTCAGCCAGCGGCGAGTGACCTTCAGCAGAGCCACATGCAGGCTCCGCTTGGTGCTCCTGGAGGCTGCCCCCAGCCAGGCACTGCGGGGGGTTTTCATGATGAAGTCGCCGCGGCGTCTGCTGGCAGCCGCCATCCAGTGAAGCCCTGCCCAGGCTGCCCCCACGGCCCCTCCAGCCGCCATCCTGGCTGCAGCCCTCATCCCCCTCAGGCCCACCAAGGCCTCCCTGGATAGAACCGTTGACACGGAAACTGGCTCCAGGAAAGGTCTCGTTTCCTCTCCCAGCCCCTTTGCACTGGTTCTCACCTCCAGCATTTTTTCAATCTTAAGCAGAGCCTAGTGCACAGTATAAAAAAATCACATACCCCTGCTGGTGTCTGACACCTACAAGGCTAGTCCCAGGATGGCCTGCTGTTCACTTAGAGGCCTGTCCTCAACCAGATGGTTGATGGTCACCCGTGAGCCCTCATTCACAGCCCCCACCCCCACCCACCGAAACAGGATGCTGCCGAGAAACAGACTTGTCCTTCCGACCCCCCAGCCTCGTGAGCCACACGTCCACGAGACCCAGAGAACTCCACCCAGGAATTTTCCCCAGTGCTGATCTCACTCCCAAGTGACCTGCAAAAACCGCTTATAGAAATGCAAAGTATTTTTAGCCAAATCCAAAAGTGTGGGGAGAAAATGAAGGCTTGAATTATAGATTATGACCACAGGAAGAGACGGCAGTGACTGTTCCTGCTTTTAATTGCCAGGCCTGACGGGGTGGAGATGGACTGCTCTGCCGCTGGCCCTGCTGCTCTAGGACAATGCAGCAAAAGCCATAAAGAAAGGGAGGGGTGTGGCTTCCCAGCCTGAGCAGCTCCCTTGGCAAATTACAGGGGAGCCCCCCACCGAGAAGCATAATTTTCTTCTCAGGCTGTACCGGTCGCAGGTCTGGGCAGAGGCAGTCACATATGGAAAATTGTTTCATATTAATAAAATATGAGTCTGAGAGGAGGGAAGGTTATAAAGCCCTGCTCGTCTGGGCGCCTGCCCACCTCCTCCCTGGCTTTGGGGCCTGGGGTCAGCTCAGGTTTTCTCTGTTTTTCACGGGGATTCTTGGTGATTGTGTGTTTTTCCAGCGGACGATAACATTACCAACTGGCATAAGCTGTGTCTTCACATTATTTTCTGTGTTTAACCCATTTGCAACCACAGAAATTGCAGCTTAGAAAGGAGGGTGAATTGGGCTGCAGTCTAGTCCCCTAGGCCTTGCTCTTGCCTGAGCTCAGGGCACCAGAGGAGGGAGGCAGAACCCTCCTGCCACTGGGACCCATACCCAGGATAAGTCCACAGGCTCTGGCTGGCACCAAGTGCAGATGAGAGCGACCAAGCAGAGTCACCAGAGCTCAGGGAGCTGCCAACCCTTGGGGTGGCTTGTCCTCTGCGTCCACGGCCTGAGTCCCACTCTCCTCAGTAGGAGGGACATGGCGAGGCCAGAGTCTCCCAGTGGGTATAGAAAAGCGAGTGCTGTCAGCCCAACTGGCAGCCTCTCGGAGCTCCAGGCTCACTTCCCACTTCCCGCGGGCAGTTCGCAGGCTGTCGGCCGCCGTCCCTCTGCCAGGATGAGGATGGTGAGAATGTTGAGGGGGCAGAAAGCAGCAGGACCCAGTGCTGTTCTAGGGCCCATGGGACCAACATGTGCTCCCTCCTTGCAGCTGATGGAGCAGGAGACTGAGGCCCAGAGGGGGACGCGACCTGAGTTAACAGCAGATCCACCTCTTCTGACTCCTACTCCTTCTCCCCGGTGTGGGGAGGACACACACACATGCACATGCACACGCACACTCGTGCACATACATGCACACATGCTACAAAGTAGTGGGACCTCAAATGAGAATCACCCACTTTAATTGAGGCTCCTGAGGGACTCGACACTTTCCCCAAGAGGGTGTCATGTCTCAAACCCTCGTGGAATTCCTGGTGACCTGGGGTCCCCCTCCTGCACACACCTGCCAAGTGACGCCCTCGACAGGACTGGCCATGCCCCCCACGCACACACACTCTACAGTCACATGAAGTCCAGACTAGCTGGCCTGGTATTCAGGGCCCTTCCCAATACAGCTCAAGCCTTCCTCTCGCTGGCTCAGGACGTTCTGGGCGTCTCTAGGTGCCGTGCAGGTCCTGGTATAAAATGTAAATCATACACAGCCACTCCCTGCACAGAGCCCGACGCGGGGGTGGGGCAGGCCGCACACACGCTTAGAGCTCAGCACTGGAGCACCAGGTGCCAATAAGGAGGCACAAGACCCTGGGGAGGGGCGCTGGCCAGATGCTGCACGTGCCTGTTTCACCTTCTCCCCCGCGGCACCTATGGGGCAAGGCTGTAGCCAACTTAGCAGAGCACTGAGGAAGAAGGCCCTTCTGAGAACTCGGCTGCAAGGCCGAGGGAACAGCGGGGAAGCCTGGCCAGGGCAGGACGTGAGTGTAGAGGTGACGGTGCCCAGCTGCAGGCCTGCGTGCCAGGGCCCCTCTGTGGGCTCTGAGCTGTAGGAGAACACTCCATGGAGCCTGACCCAGTCTGCCCTCCAGCCTCCCCCCTCCACCGTGAGCGGGCACATCCCCTCCCCTCCCACCCCTGCACCAGCCGTGGACATGCCAGAGACGTGCTAGGTCCGGCACACCCCTGCCCTCCCTTTGCGCTCAACCAAGCTGTGCCCTCCACCCAGGAGGAGGGGGGCCGAGCACGCGGGGTCTTTCCTCCCTCTTCACACAGCCAGGTCCGGCCCCCGCTGACCCCCTGACTCTGCCCACACTCTGTCTGGTCTGTTCCAAGAGCCGGTTCTCTCCCCAAACCTTTGCTGGGCCAGGATTTGTTTAGGGAGGGGCCTGGGGGAAGCTGGGGGTGCTAGCTTACCACATGGTCTTCTCTCAGGCCCCTTTCCTGGTCCCCATCTGTCTCTCCCCCCTGATTCTTGGTTCCCCTCTGTCCCCCTTTCTTCCTCTGTCCATCTTTGCTTTCATCCCTGGTTGTGTGAAGCGTCACAACGTGAGGACTCAGCCAGCTCGACGGCCCTGCACGAGCTGTTTGCTCACTCAGTTTTCCCATCTGGGAAGTGGGATTGACATGTTCACCTTCCGGGGTACTTGGGGAGATTGTTATAAATAACAGAGGCAGGCTCTCAGCCCACAGTGGCGCTTGACAACTGGTAACGATTGACAGATTCTCGCTCCCTTTCCTCAGCCATTTCCCTCTCCCCTTCTCTCTTTCTGGCCCCCCTTTCTGCAGAAGGGCAGCCCCAACCCTGCCTCCTCCTCTGACCTCCCTCTCCCTGTCTCTGTTCCTAAATGAATCATAACAGGGAGCTGAAGTTTGCTCTTTGTTACATCTATTAAGTGCCTTTGTGTTCCTTGTTAATTTTTAAAGCACGTGAGGAAGTATTTGCCGTGTCTGGCTTCTGTGCGCCCCTCTAGCTGCCCACCCCTTGCTCCCGGGACTGCCCTGGGCAGAGACCCCTCCTCATCCAGCCCCAGCCTGAGGCCCTGCCCCGTGGGGCCACACTGTGTGTGTGTGGCCCGAGAAGGGGCCTTCAAATGCAATTTTTCCCTCCCCCTGCTTCTTTGAACTCCATTTATCCCAGTTTGCTAAATTTATACTCCGTTTTCCAGGCGATTCTGGGCTCTGACGACTGAATTAAGCCTCTCCTTCCTCCTTTCTGTGGCCTTTTATGAACCTGCCCAGCATTAATTACCATGTTTGTCACTGGGTAATAAAAATCTCTGAACCCCCTGCCACCAGATTATCTTTTTAAAGAAATGCAACTCATTTACTGTTAATAACCAGCAGCCCTGCCGTCCTCAGCCTGCGGAAGCTGAGGGATTTATGGTGCCAGGGTGGCCGGGCACCCTGGCACAGGGCATTCAAGCTCAAGACTGCCCTGGTCCTCCCTGTGAGGGTGTGGAGGCTGCTGATGAAACTCCCGCTCCCCGCCTGCCCGCCCACCAGAGGCTCCTGGGCCAGCGGCCAGCAAGCTGTCAGACCCCAGCAGGCCCATCACAGGGAGACAACCACCCTGTCCTCTTTCTCCTCACAGACCACGTCTCTATTGGAGGACTCGGGGACAGTTTTTATGAATATTTGATCAAATCCTGGCTGATGTCGGCCAAGACAGATATGGAGGCTAAAGATATGTACTACGAAGCCTTGGAGGTAAGTCGGCGCCGGCTTAACTTCTTCGTGGGCAGTTGGTCTTCCCCATGGGCTCCTGACAGGTCCCAAGTGCTGCTGTCCCCACGGAGAGCCGGCTGGCAGTCCCTTCCCTTCCCTGGCCATCGCTGCACACGCCCTGACTGGTGACTTCTCCAACAGCTTGAATTTAGGGCTGAGTTAGCATCCAGGTTTTACAGCATAACCAAGGTAAAGGAGGTGAAGGCACTGACTCGAGGCCTCACGGGAAGCTGCAGCCAGTCTGTTTGGAACCAGTGGCTGTGCTGCAGTTGGTGTGTCTGAGCCCAGAATGTACCCAGGCAGGGGCCTGGCGAGGCAGCCAAAGCAAGACCATCAGCACACCCACGCTGGGAGGGGCCTCCCTCAGTGGAGCATCCAGTTCTGCTTCTTCTCTTTTGGAAACCAAGGCTCGGAGAGGGGAAGGCACTTACTCAGTGCCACACAGCACAAAACTGGCAGAGCTGGAGCTGCAGTCAACCCAGCATTACCTCGTCAGAGCAGGGAATAGCGAGGAATGGTAGACTGAGATGAGTCCCTCCAAAGAGGGGAGACTTTAGGACAGAAGGGGCATTCAGGTAACCCGAGCTATTGGGAAGGGAGTTATGGAATCCCAGGGTTCACCCATAGAACCCAACAAATCAATGGCTCCAGGCAGGCTCTGGGTTTCAGTGTCCCCCAAAAGTAACCTGAGCAGGTTGGATCTACTCTGATGCCACCTTGGTCTAAGCTAACACCTGTGTACCCTAAAAGACATCTTGCGGGTCCCCGACCCAACCCTATGAGTCAGTTTTCCACATAGCAGCCAGAAGAGCTGGAAAGGCATGCCCGTCCCCTCACCTGCTCCCCTGAGCACTTGGAATAAGCCAGAACTTTAGGTTGCAGACCTGGCTACCTCACCAGGCCCCTGCCCAGGTGTTCTCTGGGCTTGGACACATCAACTGAAGCACAGACATGGGTTCTGAGCAGATGGACTGCAGCTTCCCATGAGACCTCGAACCAGTGCCTTCGCCTGCTTGAGGTCTTGCCCTCTAGGTCCCACATGATCCAGGCCTGCCAGTTGCCCAGGTCTCTCCCTTTGCTCTCTCAGTTCTGGGCCAGACTCCCTCGGACCCACAGACTCATTCTGACCGCAGGGTTTTTTACGTGTTCTTCCCTCTCCGTAGAATACCTTTCAAATGTCTGTGCCCCACTTATTAGTCAACTCAAATGTCACTGAAATTAGCCTTTCCCAGCCTCTCTGTCACATACCCCAAACTTATTCTCTTCTTCACCTTCAGCAGCATCTAAAATTATCATGTGCACATGTTTGTTTACTTGTTCAGTCTCTGTCCTCCCCAAATAGAATGTGAGCAATGTAGGAGCAAGGATCTTGTCTACTCATTAACCCTGTGTGCCTTGATTCTAAAACAGCTCCTGGATTATAGGAGGCATCTAGTGATCACATTGAAAATAAATGCATGAATGCTGGAAGGGAGAAGGAGGGAGGAAGGTAGAAAAAAGGGAGAAAGTAGGAAAAAAGGAAGGCATGGCTGGGTACAAGCTGATAGTGAGGTGGGTGGGTGGATGGACAGGAGGATGCATAGATGGGTGGGTGGGTGGGTAGATGAATGTGTGAGCAGCTATGCATGAATGGGTGTGGGCAGTGGGATGGGTGGATGGATGGATGATGGAGGGATGGATGATGAATGGATGATGGAGGGATGAATGGATGATGGAGGGATAATGGAGGGATGAATGGATGATGGATAGATGATTGATGGATGAATGGATGATGGAGGGATGGAGGGATGGATGGATGATGGAGGGATGGATGATGGATGGATGGATGGATGGATGGATGATGGATGGATGGATGATGGAGGGATGGATGATGGAGGGATGGATGATGGATGGATGATGGAGGGATAATGGAGGGATGAATGGATGATGGATGGATGATTGATGGATGGATGGATGATGGAGGGATGGATGATGGAGGGATGAATGGATGATGGATGGATGATTGATGGATGGATGGATGATGGAGGGAGGGATGGATGGATGATAGAGGGATGGATGATGGATAGAAGATTGATGGATGGATGATGGATGAATGGATGACAGATGGAATGATGGATGGATGGATGATGGATGGATGAATGGATGACAGATGGAATGATGGATGGATGGATGCATGGAGGATGGATGCAATGATGGGTGGATGGATGCATGGAAGAATGATGTCTATGAGCACATGACTCTGGCCAGGAATGGCAGTGTTTAAGGGAAGCACAATGAATCAGGCCTCCAGAAACATAGATGTTTTAAGCTGTGGCCCAAGTATGTTTTCCCTGCCCAGTTCTCTGGCACCAAGATCTGTCATGAAGCAGAAACAGCTCTGAGGACTCCAGTCCCTGTTCAGTCTGGCTCCGCCACCCCAAGCCTTGGCTAAGCTTCGCTGCAGCCAGCCAGTGTCTCTGGCAGAGGCTGGCATTCAGCCAGTGGCCGGGGAGGGCTGCCCAGGAGGCCCTTTCCTCCTTTCTGCCTCCTTGCAGAGTAAACACAAAGTTAACAGCAGCCTGGTTCCCTGCCCTCAGGGCACACTGTAGTTGAGGCTTCAAGGGAAGAAATGGCCATGAATTATTTAAGAAACTGGGAGCTTATGGAAAGCACTTGATTGAACAGGAGAGAACTCAACTCGGCTCCCAGCATTTGATCTCCCCTCTGAAGAGCCTGGAGTGTCTCTGACCCTGGGTAAAGGCTTGGCCTCTGGCAAGTTTGGGGCTTTGAAGAATGTTCTGGTAGTTCTCAGCATTGCAGGCATATAAAAAATCACCTAGGGAGCTGTAAATCCTGAAGCCTGGGCTGCACCCCAAAAAGGCTACATCTGAATCTCTGGGGTGGGGACACAGCAGTAGCCTTGACAGCTGCCTGGGGGTTCAGTGTGCAGGTTAGTCCACTGTTGGGGGAGCAGGGGTGACAGACTAGCGGACACAGAGTCCCAAGCAGTAAGAATGGGGGACTACCTGTCACTGTGTCCTGCAGCAGGCCTGTGTCCTGCAGCAGGCCCCCCTCTCACAGATGATGAAAGTGAGGCTCAGTAAGACCCAAGGACACAGTCACGAGTGTCGCGGGGGGCCAGGGTGCTGACTCAGGTCGAGTGATTCCAGATCCAGCTGCTGCTTCTACTTATAGCACCAGTCGCAGGAGGATCAAAGTCCCCTGAAGAGTGTGCAGATGGTCTCCAGGGCACAAGGGGGACAGCACTGGGCCATGCGGAGCCAAAGTCTTTGAAGAGCCTCCCAGACATCCCAGAATGAATCCCAGTTTACAGATACGGAAAGGGAGTCTTCCAAAAAGTTGGAATCATATGCCGAGGCCCCCCACCCCTCAAATTGCACGACTGGGATTCACACCCAGGCCTCTGACTCCCCGCTCAGCTCTGTTTATCTCTGGCTATGATTTAAGCCCTTAAATCAGTCGGCAGCCAGTGCTGACTTGTATTTTGCTCAGGGTTTTAGAAAGCCTTGGTTTTTGGTCTTTGCATCTGCTTGTCTCAATTGTTTCTGCAAAGAGAGACTGGTCTGTAATTCCCTGTTTTGCACAATTATTTAGCTTGAGGTTAAGCCCAAATGGGAATAACCTAAGGCACATGGTCTTGAAGGTGCAGATTTCAAGCTACAGCATGAGACTGCGCAGGACCTCCCCAGCCATGCCTGTGCTCTCTGCCAAGTGTTGACAGTGGGTAATGAACCGGGGTTGTTCCTGGGACTAGCCAACCACCCCTCCCTGCACCTGCACACATAGTCATGCAGAAGAGCCGCCGTGGACCCAGCTCTGCCCAGGAGCCGGGCCCAGCTTACAACAGCCCCAGCCCCATGGCCGGCCGGCGGCTCTCCAGGCCTCCTCGAGGCTCCTCCCATGTGGCACAGGTGCCCTGGCAGGCCTGGCACCAGAGCTCCCCTATCTGCTGCTCAGTGAGGGTCCCGCAGCCAGCCCACAGCCCAGGCTTGGCAGGAGAGCAAACAGGAAAAAAGCCGTCAAGGAGTACACGTTGTTTTAGCTTCTTCCGTGTGCCCAGCCGGGAATCGGCGCTGACTTCCGCTGTCACATGGCCCTGGGCGCTGGGAGAGAGACAGGCATGACAGGAACTAGCTCCCACAGGCATTCGTGAGGAGGGAGCAGCACTGGAGAAAGACAGCAGGATGGTGAGTTTAGGTTGGGGTGTCCTCTCCGAGGAGGGGGCCTCCTCCAGGAGCCTGGCTGAGCACAGGGCAAATCTGGGGCAGGCGGAGCCCTGGGGGTGGAGAAAGCGCAGCTGTAACAGACAGGTGGCGACCTTCTCGACCTCATTTTGCAAAGCAGGTTCCCTCCCCAGCCTCTTCCTGTCCATGCCCTCAATGTGTTTCATTCAAAATGCTGATCAGACTGTATGTCCTGTGCATTTGGCTTTGCTGGGAAGTCTGCCCCCTAAGGGGAGCTCCTGGAGGCAGCGTCCAGGCGTGTTCTCAGGGGCTGTGTCCCCTGACCTAGAGGTGCTCACAGAGTATTCGACATGGGGAGGAGAGAGTTGTGTGACGGGCCTGCGTGAGGAGGAGGAGCAGGGACAGACCAGAGAGGAATCATCTGCAGCATTAACTGTGGACCGTCCCTGGCCTGGGAAGTGCGGGTGCTGAGCTCTGCAGGGCAGCTCGTGTCTTGCCCACACGCTTTGAGTGGTTTGTGCTCTACCGCATTGAAGCGGGGAGAAACCGAGGCATGGAGAGAACATGGACAAACTGCCCATTGTCACACCGCTTGGAGCTGGTCTGGGTGGAGCTGGAACCCAGCGAGTCTGTGCCGGGAGCCATGTCCATGGCATCAGCTTGAATCGCAGGTCCAGGTCAGGGAGTCCAGAGGCCCTGCTGGGCTTGCACCAGAGGGTGCCCTGAAGCCACAGAAGGTATTAAGCAGACAGGAGACTCGGTGTGGTCTGTTACGTACAGAATGCAGAGGGCCCTGAACAGACTGGAGGGCAGGAGTAAAGCACAGGTCTGGCCAGGGCCCCAGGGACCCCAACCCCAGGGCTGGACCTCCCGAGCATCCCAACTCTCTCCACAGCATCCTGAGGGAGCAGGGGGTCTCAGAGCCCCTTGCCACCGAAAGGAGCAGCCAGTGGGTAATGGCGAGGGCCGTGTTTGGGTGCCTGGGGGTCCTTGTCCCAGTCCAGGTGTGGCTGGGTGACCTGGGACCAGCTACTCACCCCTTGTCTGTGGAGGGCACAGCAGCCCACGTGCCTGGCTTGTGGGCGCTGAGTGAGAAAGCTGGGACTGGGGTCTTAGGGAGCAGCTCTCCATCTGCGCCTCCTTTCTGAGGATGAGATAAAATAGATGGACCTTCTTCCCCTGAGAATGCACAGACACAGAAGATCACATGCAGCGTTAGGGGTGCTCTGAACCCCCAGAATCCCATTCACAGGCCACCTGGGCTATAGGTTAAGATTTCTAACCGGGCCTCCCCTGGTGGCGCAGGCAGTTGAGCGCAGTGCTGTGAAGCTGTCTGCAGCCTCTGTGGCGCCAATTTGATTCGGGCCGCCCGACGAGGGTCCCACACGGCCCAGCAGACCTCTCCTGTCTCGCCCGCTGCTCCCTCAGCAGTGTACTTCGTCAGTCTGCCTGTTCTGCTCCCCGCTCTGTCTCTGGTGAATCCTCTCACCCTGCCTCCCGCACTCTGGCCTGTACCCCAGCTCTTCTGTGCATAAATAAATAAATCTTTAAAAAAAGTTATAAAAAAAGATTTCTAACCGATGATATAATGGAAGATACTTTTTTAAGATTAAAAAAAATTCTTTTGGATATAGATATAAAACGCTCTATGAAAACGTACCCTGGGGGCTTGCCCTGCCTGTGTCTAGGTGCCCAGGGTACACCAGGCCTGGCTGAGCAAGCAGCAGACCTCCCCTCCCCCGCCAGCCGCAGCAGGGCCTGCCCCAGTGAGGTCACTGGGCCTCCTGTGCCTGGGAGGGACTCGCTGAGCTGCGTTGGCTGCTGTCTCCAGGACATTCATTTCCCTTCCTCTCCCCACCCCATTCTCTACCCTCCCTGCCTCTTCTCCCTGCCCATTTCTCCCCTTACTCCCAGGCAATAGAGACCCACTTGCTGAATGTCTCTCCGGGGGGGCTGACCTACATCGCTGAGTGGCGAGGGGGGATTCTGGACCACAAGATGGGGCACTTGGCCTGTTTCTCGGGGGGCATGATCTCCCTCGGCGCTGACGACGCCAAGGAAGAAAAGAGGGCCCACTACCGAGAGCTGGCAGCCCAGATCACCAAGACATGCCACGAATCCTACACCCGCTCAGGTAACCCCCAAGGGAAGGGGCAGCAGGAGAGACTGGGACTAGACTCCAGGGAGCTGGAAAGGCCAGCAGCGCGGCAGTGACTGGAGGAAACGCGTGGTCTTAGGGAGTCTCACCTTAAAGGGATGTGGAATTTAAAGGTGGGTCGTATCTTCTATGCACTGAGATTGCACCTTGAATTCAAGGGAAATCAGTCCTGACATAATGAGCACTTTGCATGTGCCAGGCCCTCAACACATCATCACGGAACCTTCCACCACAGATGAGGAAACTGAGGCTCAGCGGAGACTTGAGCAAGGTCCCACATGAGGGGCACAGAGCAGAGGGTTCTCCAGCCCCTGAGCAGAGACCCTGACTTCCCGAGCCCTACGGACCCTTACTCCCGGGGCACCTACCCTGAATGTACCTCTGCCTCTCCTCCGTCCAGGGTGTCTCACCAGCTCCTGGAACTATCCTGTTTATCACACTCCTTGATCCAAGACCCCCAGAAAGCTTGCAAGCTTCTGATCACCCATGCCAGCACTGGTCACAAACCGCCCCCTGCTGGAGTCGGAGGTCCCTGAAAGAACTCCAGCCCCCTCCCCGTCACACCCCGGGAGAGTGAGCCGGCCCAGAGTGGGAAAGTGACTTAGCCGAAGTTACTGCCCTCCGAGTAGCTCAGCCAGCGCTGGAAGCCAGGCCTCTGATGCCACCTCTCCAAACAGCATCTTCTGGAAAAATCACCAGCCCCCCTGTAGCCCTAGGGGTGCCTGCTCCTCTGAGTTGTGGGCTCGGTCTTGGTTGGAGGCGAGAACTCAAGATCTACAGCAGAAATCCTGGCTCAAGTACCACTCTGCCTCACCAGTAGGGCGGCCTCTGTTTTCTCATGCATTTCTTGGGTGGGGGTGGGGCCCCACAGAAAGCACTTTGCCAGCCGTCTTCCACCTTCCGCCAACAGCAGGCGAGGTGCCCGTCCGCATCCGTGGGGACCGCGCCTGTGGCCGCCCCGTTGAATGCAGGCCTCCTGGAGCTGTTTTCAGGAAGCCAGTGATTTGCAACGGTCCTAAAACTGGTCTTCAATTCCCCTGAAAGCTCTCTCTGCCAGCGCCATAAACAAACAGGAAATCTCAGGAATAATAAAAAGCTCGCTATTTGTCTGGGACAATCAGCCCAGACCATAAAAGACAGTCCGCTTAATAGAGCATATTGTCCCAGGCAGCCAGCCGGGCTGTGGGGCCGCCGCGCTCGCGCTGCCCTCACCCTGGTAGCAGCTTGGCAGAGGAGGGCTCTCTGATGGTGGGAGTGCCTGCACCCTTTGAGAAGGTGGGAGAGGCCAGGGTTTAGCCGATTCCTCTTCCATGAAGCCCTCCTTGAAAGGATAGGCTGTCTCCCAAAACTCCAGCTCCTGTCTCTCAAGGAAAGGCAACACAGGGCCTCCTGGGAGCCTGAGCCCTATTCGGGGAGCCAGGGGGGTGCATATCAAGACCAGAGCTGGCCCCTCAACTGGCCCAGACAGAACATGTAGGCATGCAAGTGAGGAAGATCTGCCCTAAATTTTGCACCCAGAGAGTAAGATGAGGGTCACATCCCTGCTCAGCCACAACTTGCTGTGCTGCCTTGGGCAAATTATTGAGCCTCTCCGAGTCTCAGTTTCCACATGTGTGAGAGAAGGAGAATCGCATCTATCTTAGCCAAAAATTATTTTTTATGGATTGGAACAATGTATATAAAGCAGCCAGCACAGCCCTTGAAAACACAGCGGTGGCTCCAGAGGGGTGACAGCGTGGCGGCTAGGAAGATGGGCATGGGGACAGACCCGTGTCAACGACGAGACCCACCTGCCAACGGGCACCTTCCCCGAGTCTTGCCTTCATGTCCACCTCAGCAGCCTCCTGACCCGTGGGCTCAGGAGGGCCGGTCCCAGGAGGTGCGAAAAGCCCTAAGAAAGAAGGTCCCGCGGAAAAGCAGCATCCCTTGGCCCAGGGTTGGACCCACCAGTCCCTTTATTAGCCCTTTATTCCCCAAGGGCATTTAAACCCGAAGCCCTCTCTCGGGGAGCTCTGGTAATGTCTTGCAGAGCTTTCTCAAAACACAGTCAGGACACCACCCAAGCCTCTGTCCCCCAGACGCTGACCCGCTAGAGCGTTCATATGGATTCTCAGATGCTGAAGCTGAAAAATTCTTGAGGACTCAAGGGTCTGGCTGAGGCTGGCCACAGGGCCTCCTGATCTCTCCTGGGGCACTGGGTCCTGATAAGCAGGGGGAGGGTCTCTGACCCCAGCACTCTGGTTGTTCCTTCCCACAGATACCAAACTGGGGCCTGAGGCCTTCTGGTTTAACTCCGGCAGAGAGGCAGTGGCCACTCAGCTGAGCGAGAGCTACTACATCCTGCGCCCCGAGGTGGTGGAGAGCTACATGTACCTGTGGCGGCAGACCCACGACCCCATCTACAGGGAGTGGGGCTGGGAAGTGGTGATGGTGAGCGCCCCCAGGGAGGCCGCTGGGTAGAGGGATGGCTGTGTAGTGGGTGCCCTTGAGGACCCACAGGGTTCAGAGCCCCCTGGCTCATGTACCAGGAAAAAGATCAGGCCAGATCGACATCTGGCTGATGTTCAGGATGCAGAGGATCGAGGTTGTGTTTACAGAGTTCCCAACTGAGCAGAAACAGCCCAGGACTTGTGAGGAGGGTTCTGAGCACACATAGCCTTTGGGGCCTAGCCCTGATGTCAGCACACTTAGAGGGCCAAAGAAAGGGTGGCAGCCAGGCGGGGTCCAGAGCACCAGTAGCCACTGCTTTCTGACCCCAAACCCCAGATTTCCTCCTAAAACAGACCGGCTGCTAGGCCAGCAACTCATCTCCCTCCTCATCCCAGCCCACACTGTCTCTGGGCTCTGCACCCCCAACGCCCCACCTCCCCCAGCTCTCTTATTCCCAGCCACCAAGTGGAAAATGGTCCTCTTTGGGGTTAATATCAAAAGCAGGTGTGGGGATTCCCGAAAGTTCCTCACACTCCTTGATGGAGGTTGAGTCTTCTCCCCCCACACCTTGGTTCCACTGCTCCCAGGCACAGACTGCCCTGGGATGGCCACACACCCATGCTCAGTGGGGCACAGAGGCTGCTCAGGTTCACTGGCCAGAGTCCCCTACTTCCCTGAAGTCCCTGGTTCTCGATCTTTGATGGCCAAGTGTTTTGTGCTTCTGGGCCCTGCCCATCTTGAGTAAGTAACAGCTGCATTTATATACAAAAGTCAGGCAGCCCATGGCCCACCACCTCTGGCCCAGGGACCACGGGGAGTCCCTGGGGTGTGAGGTCCCGTCCCCAGTGCCCCCTCCATCCGCCACCCTGGTGAGTCTGTCAGGCCAGTCTAGTTCCCCAAAGCCAAAGAGAAGCTCACACCCCATGAAGGACCTGCTGGGACTGTTCTCGGCCATGGGCCTGTGGAGTCTGGCCCTGGGGCCTGGCAGCTGAACCCCGAAGCACAATTTGGCCTCCTGCTTCCGTGCATTCCAGGGGTCCTCAGCTGAGTGGTTGGGGCCTACCTGTTAGAGAGCCCCTACCCACAGGACAGGCAGGGTCTTGGAGGGCCTCACACCTCCCCAGGCTGAGGCCGCCTGCCTCTGCTTCAGGCCTTGGAGAAATACTGTCGCACAGAAGCCGGTTTCTCTGGGATCCAGGACGTGTACAGCAGCATCCCCAGCCACGACAACAAGCAGCAGACCTTCTTTCTAGCGGAGACTCTAAAGTGAGCAGGGGCTGGGCGGGGGTGCTTTCCAGAGGGCACTCCGGCGTGTCGTGGGGGTGGGGTGGGGTGGGGGTGGGGTGGGCAGGAGCCACAGTCCAGCCTTCACCTGGAGTCAGGTTCTGTCCTCAGGGAAGGGTGCAGGCTCGGTGTCCAGCAGGTTACACCCAGGGGTGAGCCGTGGGGGGGCGAGGGTTTCCACTGAGAGTGAGGCTGTGCCATCTGTGAGCCCTGTTCTTTAACCCGTCTCCTGGGGTTATTCAGTTCTCGAGGTGATGAATGACTACTATTATTATTAATTACTCTCTGAAGAATGGTAATGATTCATCCCTGCTGTTGACTTGCCCTCTGCAGCTTTGCTGCTGTGGTTTCTTCTAGGGTGGAGTGGGACACCCCGCTTCCTCGCTGTCCCCCAAAGCAATCCCCTTGTGCTTTAACCCTTTAGGATGGGCTGGAAGGGTCTGTTCCTTTCAGTAAAAACAAACATACAAGCCTGGTGGGAAGTGAGTTCTGGAGCCTCGAGTCTGTCCTTTTAACGCCCTCACAGCTGCCTGAGAGTAGCGCCTCCCAGGGGACGCATGAGGACCAGCCCGAGAGTTTGGACCCGTGCAGCCCTGAGGCCGCCCAAAAGAAGGGAGACTCTGGGCCATCCGGGGCCCCACAGTGCTCGCTCCAGGGCCAGGCGGGGATGCACCTGAGTGAAACGGGTGGGGTGTGAGGGCTGGAGCTAGGGTGAACCAGGTCTGTGTGCGGGCGCTCAGTGCTCTCAGCACCCACACACCCCCAGGCCCCGCGCCCTCAGCCACAGGCCCATCCCGCAGGTCCTGAGGCTCATTCCCAGCGGGGCCCTGGTTCCCAGGCACTGACAGGGTGTGTCTTCCTTCCCCCCTGCCTGGGGCGCAGGTATCTCTATCTTCTGTTCTCTGAAGATGACGTGCTCTCCCTGGAGGACTGGGTCTTCAACACCGAGGCCCACCCGCTCCCGGTGAACCACACGGACAGCTCCGGCACAGCGGGGGGCCGCCTCTGACCTCCTGCCCCGCGGGGTGCCTTGCCTTTTGGGGACCTGGTACTGTTCTCAGAGGCACTGGGAACGCGGGCCCCATCCCAGGCAGCCCGTGGGCAGATGTGCCCGACTAGCAACTTCTTTTCCTCTGTGAGGAGACAGGACTGGAGACGCGGCGATGTCACCCAGGCCCAGACATTCCTTTCTATGGAGAATTTCTATGAAACTCGCTCACTTGCCATTCCAGGGCCGAAGCACCGAAGGTTTGCCTATGACCCCGTGTATTTGGTTCACTTTCTTTCAGATGTTTTTTTCTTGATTTTTTGGTTTTGCTTGATTTTTGCCTTTTCTCTGCAGTTGTAGTTTATCGCAAATTATGAATATAGTTTTCAAAATCATGTGCTTTCAGAAGTGGTATCTTCCAGATAAACCACACACACATACAAATCCGGACCCTGTTTTCTATATTTTAAATGCATTTCGCCACCCTTTACTACATGTTCAACTCTGTGTCATTTACCTTATAATTTGAGGAGGGGTTTCCCTTTGATTTACGCTCAAGTGTTAAGAACTAGTGCTATTTTCATTATTGTAATGGAAAAATCTATAAACTTACAATAAAAGAGTTTATTGAATAAGAAGTATGATTGGAGCCACTGCACATCAGCAACTCCTGGGGAAAAACAGTGCCATGTGATCATCAGAAAGAATAATCCAGCCAGCTGTTGATTTAAGGTATGACTCAGTAAATGACTCCAACTTCTATTATGTTCCCTCAAATTGGTTCTAATGTATTCAGGAAGGGTGAGGCCAACCTTTCAATGGAGTTGGATATTTGCACTTAGGTTGCGACTTGGGAAAGTCTCAGAGAGGAACAGCAACTTGCCTGAGGTCACACAGCCAGTGAAGGCAGTGAAGGTCACACAGCCAGAGGTGAGCTCAGCTCCTGCAGGTTGCTCATCCAGCAGACGCCTGGGCCCGGACCAGGTACCAGGGACACAGCAATGAGCCAATGAGGGTCCCAAGCCCTGCCCTCAGGGAACAGGCAGTCAAGTGGGGAGAGACAGGCCTGAGAATTAACGGTCAGGTAAGTAAAGTGACTGCAAGTGGCAGGAAATGCTGCGGATTTGACTGCAGGGCTGAGGTGCAGATGGCCAGGACCTGTCTTCAGGGGTCAAGAAGAGCCTCTTTGAGCGGAGGACCTTCAAGCCAAGACCTAGAAGATAAGGAGCAGTGGGAAGAGAACCCACAAATCCACCTGCCCCCATGACCATCACTGCTTCCCTGCAAGAAGGTGAGGTACTAAGTCTGGTCTGCAGAGCGAGGAGCTCAGGAGCCTCTCGCCTCCCCCCATCCCTCAGCCCTGCAGCTTGTGCACACAGCTGACTTCATGGGTAGCTTTGAGTCATCCCCATCCCCCATGCTAGGTGGCGCTGTTAGGAAACCCAAGGCCCCCTGGAGTATTGGTGACCCCGGAAACCCCCACTGTGGGAATCTGGCGGGTTCACCATGGTTCTGAGCCACCCTTCCATCAGTGGGGGGAGGAACCTCTACCCGCCCTCGAGGTTGCTGGGAGAATAGGAGGGATGCCGCTGGTGCCCTGGGGCCTTGGGAGGTGCTTCTTTCCTATTCTGGAGAGTTAGAGCTTCCAGCAGCATCTTAAACACAAGTCATAGCATAAGTGAGCTGGCGCCTAGCAGAGGCCCCGGCCTTTGGGGAGTAAGTCACTGCCTGAACCCAGCAAGTCACTGCTCCAGACGGGCATTAAGAAAGGGTCAGTCCGGGTCCTCCCCTGGAGGCACAGGCAGTTGAGCGCTGCGCTGTGAAGCTGTCCACAGCCTCTGCAGCACAGGTTCGATTCCCGGCCGGCTGGGGAGATGCCCACGTGGCGCAGAAGACCTCTCCTGTCTCACCCGCTGCTCCCCTCAGCAGTGTTTTCGGTCAGTCTGCCTGTTCTCTCCCCCGCTCTGTCTCTGGTGAATCTTCTCACCCTCCTGCACATCTGGCCTGTACCCCAGCTCTTATATAAATAAATAAATCTTTAAAAAAAAAAAAAGAAGAAGAAAGGAAAGAAGAAAGAAAGGAAGGAAGGACAGAGGGAGGGAGGGAGGGAGGGAGGGAGGGAGGGAAGCAAGCAAGCAAGCATCACTCCGGTGACCTGCCTTAGAAAAAGATATCAAGACCTGCAACGGCTTCGTAGCCAAGGAGCTCACCCTGCTTAGCCTCACCCGCAAGAGAACGCTGCAGCCCCTGCTCCACTGGACCATGTGCAAAGCAAAGGCCCAGATCACAAACACCGATATGTCGGAGGAGACGCGACAGGACTCAGCGGCATGTGCTCCGTGGTTGCTGGAGAAATATCATGGACAGAGACCCCAGCAGCCCAGTGAGGAGAGTGACGAGAAGTTCAGTCCTACCTGGCACCACGTCGCGGGGAAGAACCTGGGCCAGGGGGTCATTCCTCTGTTCAAACTTGGTTAAAAGCAGGGTCTGGGCCACACCCAGGGACCCCTCCAGGAACAAGGACCGCAGCCTAAATTCCAAGCACCGGAGACTGGAATCTCCCTCCTGCCTCAGGTAACACCTCGATCTTCCAGGGCATTCTCTATTGTGGTTATAAAACAAATAGCAAAACAGCTTACATTTGTATTTAACTACGCCATACCTCCCTACCCCATGTTTTTTCTCCTCAAGATCCATTCCTCTAAAAAAAATAATAAACCTGTTGGAGAAGTGAAAACATTTCTTAAAATCAAGAGAAAAACTCATTACACAACATTGTAGAAAGGTCAGGAAATAAAGATAAGCAGAAAGAAAAATCACTCACCAGCCTACCCACTAGAATGACAACTGTTATGTTTTCTTCTAGATCTTTTTCCATGAATATACAGAGTATATTGTGCAGATACAGCATCCTACTAGGCCTGCTGTTTTATTATTCTATTAAAATGCATTTGCACTTGACTGCACTGTGAGCGCTCCACATAGCATACCCGCACCTAGCTCATCACTGTTCCTGGCTGCATAATAATCCACCATGCCTGGGATCCTGCTTTCTGGACTCTCACCCCTATTGCTGGGTGTTTGGGTTTGAGTAATAGAAGCCAAATCTGTTCAACTTAAGCAAAGGAGCGGCTGTATTGAAATGCTGGGGGTGGCTGATGAAACCTCAAGAAGACCTACGGAGAGGATTTGGCCCAGGATCCAGGCTGCCAGGACAAAGTGGGGTGGGGAGTCTCTAGGGATGGCTGAATCTAAATGTTTCCAGATCCTGTTTCCCTTCAAGGAACTGAGCTTCTGATTGGCCCCAGCCACATGCCCCCCGCCTCTTGACTGACAGTCTCACCAAGACCCATGCCATAGGCCCCCAACTGCTCCCTGCAGGAAAACAAGAGGTTTACCATCAAAATAATGGATCTACCTGCTTGCCAGGCAAAAACAGCAGAACTGTTCACAGGTGGTACTTTGATTTTCCTCAGCGTTGTAAGGAAATTATGAAAACATACTTCACTGTTCTTCCATCCCCCTTTGTCCAACTCCCGGAACGTTTCTCCATCTCACAGCCATGTGGCAGTCTCCAAGGCTCCCCAAGGCCCCAGGCTTCCCCCCACACCACCACCACTTCACGGTGCCCGCCCCACCCTCCACCATTTTGTCCTCTGTTATCACTGGGCGCAAGTTGCAAAATGAGTATTTTAAAACTCCACCCTCCAAGAAGGCCATTGCAGGTGGAGGAATACCATCCAGTTGGCAACTAACCTCCATTCCAGGAATAAAAATAAGTAAGACCCAAGGTAGCTGATGGAGAGAGGAATTAAGGGGTGAGTCATCCCTGCTGAAGGAGGAGCAGCAGAATATAAGTTCTGAAGTGGGGCCCCGAGCTGGCCCATCCTCCCCGGCCCGGTCACGAGGCGCCAGGACCTTTTGCACCTATTTTCTTCCCAGGTGGGCTTGGTGCTGGTTCCTCCCCAGAAGCTTCATTAACACCTGGCTCCAGGACTGAGCCCTCCTCCCGCCCAGAGAGGGGTGCATGGGCCTCACCCAGAACCCTCTCTGCATGTGACCGTTGCACAGGCCGGCTTTGTGCACTGTGTGGTGTGTTTGGCAGTTTGCAAAGTTCAAAAGCCAAATGCACCACAAAGAAAGCAAAACTAGAAAATCTGTGTTAAAATCAACACTCTGAGATCCAGTATGTGACTCTCAGCTCTGCGCCCTTGGCCTGGAGCCCTCTCCTGGTCAGAAAGGTGCCAGAGACGAGGTATCTATCCTTGGAAATACTCTCACTGATGGTGTGGCACAGAGAGGCTCAGCCCTCTGTGACTAACGGTTAATCACTCGCTGTGGGGAGGGGACTGCTGATGCTATTTTTTTGTATCTAAAAATATCTGGGCCCTCCCTGGTGGCGCAAGGGGTTGAAATACAACCTATGAGGCTGTCCGCAGCCACTGCAGCTCGAGTTCAGTCCCTGGCCAGGGAGCAACCCACATGGCGCGGCAGACCTCTCCTGTCTCGCCCGCTGCTCCCCTCAGCAGTGTACTTCAGTCAGTCTGCCCGTTCTGTTCCCCACTCTGTCTCTGGTGGGTCCTGTCACTCCTCCCACACCTCTTACCTGTACCCCAGTTCTTGTATACATAAATAAATAAATCTTTTTTTTTAAAAATCTGGTTAGTTTCCTATATTGGGGTAATTTTTTTTTTTAAGTATTGCTTTATAAACCATTTTATTTTGTAAAATACAGTTAATGCACACACACATATTTCTGATTTATGTAGGTTATCTTTCTATTGTCTTCTCACCTCAGGGAGAACAGTTTAAATTCTCCAAAGACAGGGATCATATCTCTCATCTTTTGTTTATCTTCTTGTGACATTAGCATCAAGAGGGCTTTGCTTAACTGGTCCAACCACTATGGAAAGCCTTGTGGAGGTTCCTCAAATTACTAAAAATGGATCTATCATATGACCTAGAGATTCCACTCCTAGGGAATCTACCCAAAGGACACAAAAACATTAATTTCAAAGGAAACCTTTACTCCTATGTTTATTGACGCACCATTTATAATAGCTAAGATATGGAAACAGATGAGTGGATCAATAAGATGTGGTATATATACACAATGGAATACTATTCAGCAATCAAAAAAGACAAACTCATGCCATTTGCAGCAACATGGATGGAGCTAGAAGGGATCATGCTCAGCGAAATAAGTCAGAAGGAAAAAAGAAAATATCAGATGGTTTCACTTAGAGGAGGAATATAGGGAAAACAAACAAAGGGTCAAAAAAAAAAAGACAACACTTGCGGGCAAGCTATAGATCTGAGGCAGACAGCAGAGGAGGGAGAGGGGTCAAAACAGGGGAGGGAGAGCACAAGGAACTATTGTTTTGAGTTAACAGGTGCTATGGTGGTGGGAGATTTATGGGGATTACACCTGAGGGGAGAAATCAAATATTGTACAAAAATGAAAAAAAATGCAAGAAAATAAAAAAGTTTAATCAATTAAAAAAAGAGGATTTTGCTTCCAAGTTCCATGCATATGCAAAAAACAAACTAAACTCAAAGACCCAAATTCTAATGGGGGCAGGGAGAAACACAACACACATACATGAAATCAGCTTCTAGCCTGAAATTAAATAAAAAATGGGTTGAGAGTGTTTCATTTTGTTTCCCTTTTTTTGGTGGAAGGAAGTATTGGGTGTGGATCACTCAGATGAACAGAATATAAAGAGTGGAGGCAAATTTGTTAAAGCAACTTCATGGGAAAGCCTTCAAGATCAGCTTTTTAAAAAGGCATGAGAACAAGAATAAGTATGGAGCATAGAGTGAGATAAAGGAAGCCATAGACACTGCTTTAACTAGGTAAGGAAACAAGAATTCACCACATCCTCCCTATCTCTCTTCCTTGCTTCCTTTTTTCCCCAATAGTACTTAATTACTATTTTTTTTACTTTTATGTATATTTACTTTAATATCCTTCCCCCACGGCTAGCATAATATTTAAGCAGAACTATATAATACTAGTCTAGGCCAGATTTGAATATCAAGAAGTAATACAGTAGCAATATTTTCCTCAGCAATTGCAGTGGTCATGCAACTATCAATTTCTTTTTTTTTTTTTTAAATATTAAATTTTATTTTTATATTCCCCCATACAATTGCAAACGCCCCATTCTGACCCCAATCCTTCCCCTCCCGCCCCCCACCTATTGGGGTAATATTTTGATCCAACTCAACCTCTCCCTTAAGTTGGAACTTCTCAAACATGAATGTGCGCCTGAACCACCTGGGGATGTTATTCAATGCAGGTTCGAATTCAGTAAGTCAGATGCACCAATACTGCCAGTCCCTGGACCACACTTTGAGTAGCAAGGCCTCTGATAATGAGTCCTGCTTTGCTTTCTGCCCTTTCTTGGTAGCCCAAGCACTTCAGCTTCTTCAAAGGAGAGAAGGGGTGCTCCGGTGTTGGGAGTTACCTGGGCTGCCGAGGGACTGACCTCAAATATGTCTGTCGCCTGCCTCTGAGGGCTCCCCCTGCCCCTGGACGGGCAGGCTAAGGCAGGAGCAGGCTCACAGGAGACTTCAAACTGCATCCAGCAGAACTCCCGCAACACTGGAAATGTCCTCTTCACGTGCTGTCCGGAAGGGTCGCAACCTGTGGGTATTCAGCACTTAAGATATGGCAGCCTCTTGCTGAGCACCTACATTTTTAATTTTGTTGCGTTTTGATGAAATGTACATAGCACAAGTGGGCTGCTGGCTGCTGTTTGGGCAGAGCAGCCTCAGAACTGGGAG